CGGGGCCCTGCCCGCCAAGCTCCAGGACCGCGGGTTCGAGTCCCGCCGGGGTGCTGCGAGGAAAAAGGGCTTTGCTGATTTCCCGTTATTTTGGGTATTCTCGCCGAGGAGCCCCGGGAGGGAGGGCTGGAGGTCAGCCTGCGCTGCAGTATTGATCCTGGGTTGCAGGGGCAGGGCTGGAGCAGCTGTCTGCACTAACAGATCTCTCTAGGGTGGTTTTTTCGCAAATGATGTCCAGAAACCCTGAACAAAAAGGAATTTCCCACCATAACCAAGTGAAAGGTAGTTTATTGTTTGGTTTACCATAGCACCTTTACCATTGTTGAGGTGTCACACACACACAATTACAGAATTCTCAAATACCTTTAGGACACATACTGCCCCATGCCACCATCACACATAAATAGGATACAAAAGAGATAAAAACAAGGGGGCTTTCTGCCCCCAGAGGAACCATGTACTGGAAAGAATAGGGCACTAGACAGCACCTGTGTTTTAGGAATTCAACACATCAAAGACCTGATTTTCCAGGAGAAGGTGGAGGCTGGTTTGATGAAGCAGTCGAGTATCTGTAGCTGCTCTTTAATGGGCTCAAGTCAGTGTTTCATGCACACCCTGCACTCGCGTGGCATTTGCAGCCAGACAGCAGCTGTAGTGCCACTGAGGTTGAACTGCAATCTCTCCTCTGCATTCAGATGGTTTTGGCTCAGCCCTGGGAACATTCAGGATCAGGAAATCAGGGTGAAAGGGGTAAAGCAACATTAGCATCACACTCAGAAAAAAGGTGAAGATCAGCAAGCGTACAAGAATCACGTAAAAAAAGGTGGAGATCAGTGAGCATACAAGAATCACATAAAAAACCCAATAAAATAATTATTTCTGGTATAAAACTGTTTATGAACACTGTAGGTGCTCAGGAGATAATCTCTTGGAAGTGCAGAGCTCAGGCACTTAAGTTATTTTCAGCTTCACACTTCTGGTGGGTGAGCCCTCTCCCACCATCCTGTCATCCAACGTATCAATACAATGTTCAGTAGTTTAAAAAAATAAAGAAAACCCTCCACAAAGAAAAAACCCACATGATCTCCCCAACACAGAAACAGAATGGAAAAAGAAACATGAAAATGTTTACAAGAGCTCTTTTCCTTAACAGGCTCGACAAACTGCTGACAGATTTTAAGAGCTGAAACCATCAGGACCTCACAGGATGAAAAGAACCTTTTCCATCATTTACAAAACCAGCTGGTTTTGGGGCACAGTAATGCCAACCTCCAACACCAGTCCAGTACTGCTGATACCCTGCCCTTAGGACATATGCCACCATCATTCTGTCGTGTCACACTGCAAGGAAAAGAGGAAAACTTCTCCTAACAGCGACCCTGAAATGCCAACCTATTTTCTAAACAACATATGGCTTTGAAATAGGGCTCCGTCTGTGCAAACAGAGCGTTGTCCTCACGGAGAAGAACGAGAGCGGCTGGGGTAGCCCAGCAAGGCACTTTCTCCAAAAACGTTGGCATAGGAAGACTTGAGGAACTGGACGTAGTTTTGCATGCTGCGGTTGGTGCTCTCCGACTGCTCCAACCGATCCTTTAAATCCTGTAGGCGGCTTTCATACCGGCGCTCTGCCTACATAAAGAAGCACAAAGCACAGGCTGAAAGACAGCAACATTCATCCTGTTCACACTGAACTTCAGCTGTTCCCCAAAAGCACTGAGGACAGCAAGAATAAGCGCAGCAGTAGATGACATTACCATAGACGGTGCTATGATATTTATAATTTTTTCTGCTCATTTCCACCTCCGTTCAGCAACCCGCGGATAAAAACAGGAGACAATGCAGCTGATCAGTTGGGCTTTTAAAACTGATGAGCTGTAGTTACGGGGAATTAAACACACTCTCTTCTGAGAAGCAACTAGACCTGATCCATGTGCCAATCCGATTCCAAGTTAAAACTCAAGTAAGCAAGCAGGGGAAATAGGACACTATGAAAGATTCCCCTTCTTGCTTCTAGAATAAATCCTTTCCTCTAGAAAAGAAATTGCAGTCTCTCTGACAACCAAGCACAAGAAATGAAGTTGAAATCTATCCATGGTATCTGGTGCAAATCTCATTTCAACATAAGAAAGGTCTGATCCTTTCCTTACACACACATAAGCTTAGAGCAAGTTCATTCAGATCCTTACTGTAAGTAACATGCAAATGAGAGCCCACATTCCTGAATTAGTGCCGTAACAGACACATCATATCACACATCTGTCATGGACATGTCACATTCAGACACAGCTCTGCGCGATTTTTGCAGCATGTCCACAGGACCTTGGTTTATGGACTCCCATTGCTGCCAGGACGCCACCAGCACAGCAAGAGCCTCCCTTGCAAGTCACTCACATCGTCCTTGCTCCGACGCAGTTGGTTCAGCTCTGTTTTATTCCTACTCAGCTGCGTCTCCAAATCCAGCATCTTGGACTGAGCTGCCCTCTCTCTAGACGCTGCTCGTTCTCGAGTTTGTTCCACCTGTGTGTGACAAAGGAACAACTTTAAGGTTTGTCTATGGAAGAATGATTTTTCCCTCCCCCATTGCCACAAATGCCCTGTGAAGTTCCATTGGACACATTCTCATACATAAGCAGCAGCTCAGTCTTGTGCTTTCCTCTCTCCTGTTGCAAACTGGAGCGTGGGGTTTAGTTTTTCAATGAAGTTTAAGTGCTGACAAACAGTACCAGCACATTTTATTACTTGTATTTCACCGAACATGATGATTTTAATGGATTTGGTCGTACACGGAGGAGGTATTTCCAGCGTTCTCACTATTCCCCTTTTACAGTCTGGCTAGTTCAGGGAAAATTCACAAACAAGAAATGACTTACTTGTTTTTTGGCATCTTCAATGGCCATCTCCAGCTGACGTGCCAAGGAGCTGCACTCACAGGTCTTCTCCTCTAGCCGCAGCTGACACTGGTGGATTGACTCCTCACGTTTTGCTATGACCTGAAGGAATTCTATGTTCTGGGCATTCGTTGTCTCTAGTTTTCTAGGTTAAGACAACAAGGGAAAGAAACCTATTCATTTTACAGGGCGTGTGTTTCTTTTTGTCAGGTCCTGACTCATCTGGGAACAGATTCAATTCCCCCTTGAAAGGTGAGAGCTTCCCATTTCTCAAATAAAAATTTCAAAGACTGAAGGACATACGGAGTATCCACATACCTGCATTTTCCCAGACACTGCCACTAAAAGGAATTTATAAACACCAGTAAAAACACTGCAATATGTAATAACATCAAAATTGTCAGGCTAGATTGGACAAGGAGCTGGTTTATCTGCTGTGTAAGCCATCATCCTTTCTAACATTCATAACAGGCGCTGCTGAAACTTGTAACTCCCTCTCCAGTGGACAGCTACTGATTACAGATCCTCGTGGGATAAGCAAAGGCACAAATCCTGGAGGCATGTGGGGGACTGGAACAAGACTCAAGCTGTTTCAATCCCCTGGAAAAACAACGGGAAGAGGATGGTAACAGAAGGTTAAGAGAGCAAGGGAGCCTAATATTTCTAACCTTTCTAGTTCCTCCACCTTCAAGGTAAGCTGCTTTTTCACCTCCTGGGCAGACTGATACCTCTCTCTTGTCACCTCCATTTTGTCCCCCTGGAGCTCAATCTAAAAATTACAGTAAGTGATTAATTTACAGAGTAGACACTACACACACACCACCAATCACTTAGAATGTTTGCAGCTCTCTAGAAGGAAACATGCTCAATTCATAATTTCTGGAGAGCCCCAGAAAAGGAACAGTGGATAGCAAAGCAAAGCACTAAATATCCATTTTGCCAGTGCTTCCAGTTAACGTTTGGAAAGGTATGAGAAAATTCTTCTGTATTGCAAAGGAAAAGCCAGGCCTGTAAATGCTTGCACGCAGAGCAGCCACCTGTAAGCACAGCAAAGCACACACGTTAAAAGTAGCCACATACATGACAGCAGCCCACAGAGGCATCAGAGCCTGAAATACCAGGAAGGTTTATAATTCCAAACCAATCAGAGTAAAGCAGTCAAACTGTGAGATCATTTGCTGTGTCTTGAGGTATGGTTGCAGAAGTCATGCCTGTCTGTAATTGTCCAGCAATACCTACACGGTCCCTCCTGGGGACAAAAAACAGGCACTGGGAAAACAACCTGAAATCAGGGTGAGAAAAGAAGGATGGGACAGCACCATCAGCAGAAGAGCACAGGAGGGAAAGCTGACAAGATGATGGAAATAACAGAAGCAAATTGGCAATAGCAAGTGTTGTCACTGCTGCGATTCAAGTCGCAATAAGGTTCTGCACCAAGAGATGAGAAACTTCTCAAACAGTAGGGAACGCTACTAGCTACGCCGCTAACTTTTTGCACAAAGACATGGCACACACCTTTCTTTTGCAGTGCACGTTTAATCTTTTCACAAAGAGATGAGAACAGAGACGAAGTTTGAACCTTCCTGTGATTAGAAATTCATCTTGGTCTCAGACTTGTGAATTGCAGTGCTGCTGCAGGTACATTCTGCCCGTTCCTTACCCACTGACGAAGATCTCCAATCATGACAGAGAGGTCCGCGTTCTTCTTCTCGTAAATCTGAAGCTGGTCCTGATATTTTGCCAGCTTTGTCTCTGTGATCCTCAGGAGCTCAGGCAGCTTTTCCAGTTCAGCAAGCTGGCTCTGGAACTGCTTACGCTCCTGGAGTCAAAGAAGAGAGAGTGAGGAGCTTCCAAATGTTCATAAGGTAAAGACTAAAAAGTTTCTCGATTTCAGTGAAGCTTTGTTAGTCTGCAACCGTGATGACGCTGTGTGGATATTTAGCCAGTGCTGGAGTTCAAAGCCCAAGACCTTCTGCTAGTCCAAAAGGCTTTCTCTTAGGATTTGGCACTCCCTATGGATGGATGGAGTGAGAATGAGTATTTTTGGATCCCGAGCTTCAATTGAACTAGAAGCTTGCTCTGTGTCTTGGTGTCAGGACCACC